TGTATTTATTGAGTATTCTTTAAATTCATTGTCCGGCAGTGGCTCAGTGAGTAGGGGCTTGGACTGGGAGCTGTAGGGTCACCGGTTCAAGTCCCCGACCAGATGTAAAAAATATGGAGCGTGGACTGCTACTTGGAGAGGTCCCAGTTCACCTCCTGCCCTGCCGTGGTGCCCTTGAGCAAGGCACCGGACACCCCCCCTTTGTACTTCTACTCCACTAAAATTCAGAGTTAAATAGTGTACTTTTACTCCACTACATTTATTTTGTACCTTTAGTTACTTTGTAGATTTGGATTAATAATGTGAAATATAATCTACACTTAAATAAGAACCCGGACCCATTTCTACTTTTGGGACTAAATAGAGAACACATTTCTCACAAGTAACCCCCCCCTAGTGTCAAATATCTGAAAAATGACATATATGTCACATTGGGCTTTAATGGTAAAGTAACTCTTATTTATAACTTAATTAATGAGGATGATTAAATTAGTTTGACATTTTTTTGAATTGAAGAATAAAGAATATATTGACTAAATATAATTGAATCAGCTAAATTAACTGAGCAGATCATAATCATATTTCTAATTGTGCATATATGTCACTCCGGGTTTACTGTGAATGTTTAGGGTTAAAGTCCCGATGTGACACCAGGGTCACAGCGATGTTTATCTCATTTGTTTCATATCAATTTGATCAAGAAATGTTTCCACAACAGGTTAAATGTAATGTAAAGGACATGTTATGCAAGCATTTTAATTCTTAAATGGCTTGAATTTTACCTTTAGCAACAACAACAACAACAACAACAACAAGCTTTTGACATGTAGCTAGTTCTGTCACATTTGTTAGCCTGGCACATGGACATGTTGTTATGGGAACACAACATCAAATGACCTGGCCCATGACCCACCAGACTGTTCAGTGTGTGTCACTATAGGGACTTCACTAAAGCTGTATAAGGAACTTTCCAGAACATTTAAATGTGACACCTGTGTCACCGTGGGTCCTTATGGGTTAAATCAGACTTTAGTTACACCTGTAAGGAGTCAATTCAAGCTACCCTGCAGTATACAGTACAAAGTCATTAAAACTATAGCTGCACCTTTACCAGCTTTGATAACAATCTAATACATCAATAATTATAATCAAAACATATTATATATATATTATTCTGAAATGGGCAAATCTGCATAATGATTACTTTTACTTTACTTTTACTTTAATTATATTTTGATGCTAATATTTTTTACTTTTACTTGAGTAACATTTCGAATGCAGGACTTTTACTCGTAACAGAGTATTCCTACACTTTGTTTCTTCTACTAAAGTATAATATATGAGTTATGAGTTATTCTCCCACCTCTGAAAATTGTGTGACGTATCGACACTCCTTTACCACATGGAAATGTATTGTCAGGTATGCTTTTTGCAGATCTATCATTTAACCCTCACTTCACCAGGTCAAAGCCCCCAGTGAACAAGATTTTGGATATCTTAAGTTTATGCTTGTTAAGAAAAAGAGACTGTCTGTGTTTTGCTTTAAAACACATTTATACAGCTTACTGTGTACACTTGTCTGTACCATAGTGTCTTTTCCAATATTTTCACTAGAGGGCGCCAGCATTTTTAAACAGAAGCACAGTTCAAGTTTTAGGATCTATATGCATATGTGCATGACCATTTCAAAATGGAAGCAGCAAATACAAGATAGTCCAATCATGGCTGTGTGATGAGAGATGAATACAACTGTAACACTGGACAAATGTTAAAACGTTAATGAAAACAGAAATGTTCACACCATAGTTGCACATGTGTGAGGTGTTAGTGGGGTTTTTTGCACTCACAAGGGATATGAGAGCCCCCACACTCCCCACCTTCTTGTCTCTTTGGTGGGGAGACATACAGACAGAAAGACAAACAGACAGGCAGACAGACTGGCTGACCGTGACACTGTAACCGATATATACTAAAATACTGAACCATGCGCTGTTCCAAATTCGTCTCCCATGCAGCCACGGGATCCCGACGTCTGACCAAGAATAAACACACACATCCAGGCGTCTCCCCTGCTCTCTACTGTACTGTGTGTGTTTGTGTGCTGGGTAACACAGTAAGGGATTGAGGGGTGTCTGGCTGAGGAAGAAGGTTGATTCTCAGTCGCTGATGTAACCAGACTGGCAGAGTTATGTCACAACGTGCAGCTCTGTTTATGGGGCCGAGCCGCCTGGTAATCCTGTCTGTTGCTAATGGTCATTTAATCCAAAGCAGAGTTATTGACTCTTTGAAGCTGCTGCCTGTGGGCCCAGGCCCAACAAGCTACAGGCCCTGTTGAACTTTTACTGACCCTCAACACGCCTCATAATCACAGACAGTTTAATATACTGTATTTGTATTGCTTATCAGGAAATCAGAAATTGGTCAGAGAAAACGGGAAGTTAAAGTTCTTTGTCTAGAGAAAGATGTTGAGAACACATGACAGCGAATATAAGGCATAGTGGAGATGTATTGAGAACAAATCCCTCATGCATGATGCATCAGCTTCTTTGGCACTCTATTTTTGCAGAAATGGTTGTGTAGACTACATTTTCTGGTCCTGGTTTCTCTGTCAGAGCCACAGTCAGTCGAAAAACTTGCAAACATCTAATTTCTTTGAACATTATTAAAGAGGAGGAAATAGCATGTAGCCACCCACAGAGAGACATACAGATGAAAGTCACTTTGTTTATATTCTTGCTCCATCTCCTCTTGTACACACATCAAGGAGATGAGTCGAGAATGGCATCTTCACTTTCACGCACACTATTGTCTAGAGTCAGCTGTGTGTCATTGTAGCATCATTAGCGTTTCCTGCGCTATTGATGAATTTTAAATATTTATTAGGCCACTTCCACAGCAGCAGCAGCATCTTCTAAACTAGCAAACAAAACCAAGATATTTCTGAATGTGTCCTTGAATTACAATGAAGGAACATATCTTAGTCTGGAAATGTTTGACTTGAAGTCATAGATTTTGGATCCACTTAATGTACAGGAGGGAAAGTTGAATGGTTTGTTTCTTGGGCCCGAGATAGCTAACCCTTAAACATAGTTTTTTTTATTGAAAGGGTACAAAATATAAGAAAATCGAAAAATACAACTCTTCTGTAACGGAGCGGAACACACACACACACACACACACACACACACACACACACACACACACACACACACACACACACACAAACACACACACACACACAAACACACACACACACACATTTACTGCTCTCTTCCGTTCGTCAATAAATAAGGTTAAATCATCACTAAAACGTCCCTTTTCCCCCTTCCTTTCTGTAGCGCGACCATAAGTGCACGCTTGTGAGTCTACAATTATTTAAACATACATTTAACTACACTGAACAAAAATATAAATGTAACACTTTTGTTTTTGCTCCCATTTTTCATGAGATGAACTCAAAGATCTAAAACATTTTCTATATACACAAAATAACCATTTCTCTCAAATATTGTTCACAAATCTGAAAACATCTGTGATAGTGAGCACTTCTCCTTTGCCGAGATAATCCATCCCACCTCACAGGTGTGGCATATCAAGATGCTGATTAGACAGCATGATTATTGCACAGGTGTGCCTTAGGCTGGCCACAATAAAAGGCCACTCTGAAACGTGCAGTTTTGCTTTATTGGGGGGGTCTGGGGGGGTCCGAAAACCAGTCAGTATCTGGTGTGACCACCATTTGCCTCACGCAGTGCAACACATCTCCTTCGCATAGAGTTGATCAGGTTGTTGATTGTGGCCTGTGGAATGTTGGTCCACTCCTCTTCAATGGCTGTNGTTATAAATAAAGTTTTGGAGCTTAATTCAACCGACTAAGCCTATGTTTCAAACTGGACAAATAGAATCCCATCACACAAGTTATAAATAGAATAACATTTGAAACAATTAATACAAATTAAAAAAAAGTGTATAATAGAAATGAA